ACACTTTAAATATACTTCTCTACTGTTCTTCTCCTTTGCAGAACATTAGAAATTGTCACTTTTGTTCCTTGTTCGGCTAGTAGAGCATTTGGTTTACTAATAAAATGGCAACTATTGCATGCTCTGAGTATCTCTACACCCCAACGATGCCGCGGAAGTGATGTCCCAGTGCCTGGAGGCCGTGCGAGTCTGGATGGGGAGGAACAGGCTTCGACTCAACCCGTCCAAGACCGAGTGGCTGTGGTTTCCGGCGTCACGACATAGCCAGTTGGCTCCATCTCTGGCTATCGGGGGCAAGTCATTAGCTCCCGCGGAGAGGGCCCACAACCTGGGCGTCCTCCTGGATGCTCGGCTGTCTTTAGACGATCATGTGACGGCCATGGCCAGAGGGGCTTTTCATCAGGCTCGCCTGATACGCCAGTTGCGCCCCTTTCTGGATCGGGACGCCCTACGCACGGTCACTCAAGCCCTCGTTGTTTCCCACCTGGACTATTGCAACGCTCTCTACATGGGGCTCCCCTTGAGGTGCACCTGGAGGCTCCAGCTAGTTCAGAATGCGGCCGTGCGGGGGATTTTGGGGGCCTCTAGATACTCCCATGTAACACCTCTCCTGCGCGAACTGCACTGGCTGCCGGTGGCCTTCCGGGTGCGCTTCAAGGTGTTAGTAACAACTTTTAAAGCACTCCATGGCAATGGACCTAGGTATTTGCAAGACCGCCTCCTACCAAATATCTCCCTTCGACCAGTCCGCTCCCACAGAGAGGGCCTCCTTAGGGTGCCGTCGGCCAGTCAATGCCGGCTGGCGACCCCCAGGGGGAAAGCCTTCTCTGTGGCAGCTCCTGCCCTCTGGAATGACCTACCCCCCGACCTACGTACAACTACGGACCTGCGCCTCTTCCGCCGAGCCTTGAAAACCCATCTATTCCATGCGGCCGGCCTGGCGTAGTTTTGATTGGGCTTTGCTAGGGGTTTTATATGGGGGATTTTAGAGCAGGCTTTTTATTCAATATTTATTGTGATTTTTATTATTGCCTGAGTCCCATAAGGGAGATAGGACGGTATATACATTTAAATAATAAATAAATAAATAAATACTTAAAACTCTACAGTGCTACTTACGTACCTCTGCCGCCTCTACATTCCTAACATTTACTTCCTATACTTACATCTTTCTTTTTTGCTTGCCATTCTATGATCCAAAATGCCATGAACATCATCACCCTGTATGGCAGGGGTCTTCAAACTTGGCCCTTGTGGACTGGCTGAGGAATTCTGGGAGTTGAAGTCCACAAGTCATAAAAGAGCCAAGTTTGAAGACCCCTGCTGTATGGGGATCAGGGGGCCTTTTGAGGAAGCAGTGGCAATTTTTAGTTGGCAGTTTGAGACACTGAATAGTAGAAATTCTGAATGGGAGTCTTCCATGCAAGGCCTTGTTTCAGAATCTTCTTCAGTTATTCTTTGCTTTTTGCCTTTTGTGTTCAGAATTTTTAAGCTTTAATTTCATGATTTCTTGTACCAAGCATACTGGTATTATTTCATTTTGCATTGAATTATTGATTGAATTGTTTGGTGTTCTTGGGGTCCAGATATCTTCAGCAATTATTCCAGCATTACAGGACAATGGCCCAGCTTTTTCTATTCAGCTTTTTGGACGATCAAGCTTCCATAGACATGGTTACGGCTTGGAAAACCGTGGCCGTAACTCTATGTATCTTTGTTGTCAGTGTGTTGTTTCTGAACTTTAATACTTTGTGAAGACCATAATTGTTTTTCTCTCAAGTAACAGATGTCTCTATTGCATGGTTACATCTACCACATCTATGGATTTTTGAACTTAGGAAAATGAAAGTCTATTACTACTTCAACTTCTACACTTATTTGTATTGGGTTGGCATTTTGCCATAGTTTTAACAGCTTTTTTTTTAAAAAAAAATATTTTTTGCCTACAATAACAACTTTCTTAAGTCTACCGGCTTCCAGCCTTTTGCAGGTTTTAATTTTAATTCCAATTTCCATCTCTTCCAATCCAGCATCTCTTACGGTCATAAAAACTCACACCTGGCTCTTAGCTAGTTAATGTTGACAGCTATCTCACTTGTTAAAATTCACTTATTTTGACTATAAATATTTACATCATTTATTTCCTAAGAGAAAATAAATCACCTTGGAAAATATGTGATAGATGTTTTCAATTATACCGCAAGCAGAAGACTTCAAAGGGGATTTCTTTTCAAAGAATATTTAGGAAATAGTAACCATATTTGTTAATGCAGAGACTATGAAATAGTAATCAAACAATGTTTAAATAATTTTATTTTGGGAAGGATTTTCTGAGCTAGAAAAGGAAACAAGCACAACCACGCAAAAGAGGGGGGAAAATGGAGAATGTTCATTTCTCAGATATATCTGCTTACTCAAATTATTTTTTAATACTTTCTATACCTACTGTTCTCAACCACAGGACACAATACTTTTATTTTTTTTAAAAACCTAAAGCTTTCTATGGCAGCAATGATCTGCAAACCATCGTAGATTTGTGGTAGCAGTATAGTAACCTTATTCAACACTGATAAATTTGTATTGACAGAAGTAATAACAGAATTATTCATAACAAACGCTATGAATTGCTCAATAGGATGACAGAAACTTTGTTTACTCATATGTAACTTCCCAGGAATGTATTACAATGAGTAACTATATTAAGAATGGTTTAAATAAATGAAAAATAGGTTTGTGTTACTTTAAAATAGGATAGAGGGAGTATTTATCTTTCATGTTCTGATCTGCTGCATGAGTATATGAATGAGTTTGCAGTTTTTATCTGTTAAATATTTAACTTTATCACTAATTAGGCATACAGACTTCTTAAATCATCTCACATGTTTGATAGAATTTTTCAAAATGGCTCAGATTTTTTCTTTCCAGGTTACTTTTTTCCAGATAGAAAGAACTATTGAGGACTACTGTATAGTGGAACAGATTGCTTTTGTGCTTATTCCATTGTACAATTTTATTATCTCATTGTTTCCCAAAAGAAGAACTAATGGCCAAATGTAACTGGTATATAATTTCAGGTTAGAGAATAAGATATTTTTAGACACTGCAGATTTTTTACAGCCAAGAACATGCGCATATAAAGTCCAATACCAGTGAAGATGGCTAAAGGAGTTTGCATATTTTTGTCTTCAGCATAAATGCTGATCAATTTACAGCATATCCGTTTCTGGGGAAAAAAAATCCTGCTCTCTTTGGTTCACAGGATAATATTGGACCAGCCTTGTTGACAATGTTATTTCCCAAGGCACTTCTGCTGTCTTTGACATTGATTGTTGTCCTCAATAATGAACTGCAGTTGAACAACTATGATTTACCCTGACAGTTCTGCTAAATTGTCACTTCTCATAAGCTGAGCAGCGCCAGGTAGGAAAACTCTGCTGCAACCAATGAGGGAGAAGGCTTGTAATAGGGTGTCAGAACAAAGGAGTGCTTTTTCCAAGTTTAATCCGGAGATTTCCGATCCAGCACAAAAGATGGATATCTGAACAGCCATTGAACTAATCATCCTAATAGGGAGAACTTAACATATACAAATTGTAGGTTTTCTATCCACAGTGTTTGTTTTATGAAAAAGAGAAGCAAATAATATGCAACAGACTGAGGGGTCTAGAAAACAGAACTACGGAAGAGATATGGATGCTACTTCCAAAATTAACTGGGATGCTTACCTAGGGTTATTATTTCTCCCTGAGAAGATGCAGCCTCCAGCCTTCTCTGTGAATTGATATGCATAGAATTTAATTCTTCTGTTGTTTTTTTTGCAGCATAAGAAGAGACAGGGCCACTGAACCTCAACACCTGGACTTTTTTTTCTTTAAAATAATGCACTATAACTTCTATTAGCGTTTTCTATCCTAAAGCTCCAAGATTTCCATTTCTGGTCTACCAAAAAAAAAATTATGTTGATTTTTAGAAGGGATGAAATTTACTTCTAAATACTCTAAAAATAAGCAAGGTTAACCTACTCTTGAAAGCAAGCCTTTAATTACATGACAGGGAATTTTTCTCACAACTTTATACTGAAGCAACAAAATTGTATTTAGGCAAAAGAAAAGCTAAGGAATTAAAAATAAAATGTAGGCTATGAATATATAAAAATCTTCAACTCTGATGCTGCTGCTGGTGCTTATTTTAATACTTTACACTTCATTATATTACTCTATAAACCCAGCATTGTCATATTTAATATTGCTTTAAATAGTTTCCAAGACTTACTCCCCTACAAAACGTATTGCTCACAACTGAAGCAGGATCCCCTATAATAAATTTAGTTTTCACTGTGAAACGAGGCTAATGTTAAGTATGAAATGGCATGGGGTCAGAATGTGGCCATCCTAGTACACGATTACGCTAACATTTCACTGCCATTATCAATGAGCAGAACCATGTTGTAATAATTATTGTGAATTATGCCAACCAGAAACTTTAGAATTCCATAGGGGTATGATACTCTGATCAAATACTGTTCAAAATGTAATGAAAGAAAATGCCTCTTTCCCTGCCAAAAGTACATTTTGCCACCTATATTCTAAAATTTTACAACTATGGTCAAGATTCTGCTCTGCTGATTTTATACACTGGCTCTAAGAATTCCCAGTCATGTTAAAACAAAATGCCCAGCTCATATTTTACTACAGAACAGTGAAGCTTAGTACCATCATTGTGGCTGTTCAGTTATGGAGTTATAGAAGAATGTAGATACTCCGTGGGTTATTTGCCCAGCATACCATATTCAGAAACTTAACTTATAGAATATTTGGTAAATGTCATTACAGTATGAACTGTATCTTAATTGTATTAAATACTGCCTTATTGCTACATTAATTCATTTATATAAAATGTGGTCAAAAAAAGGAAAGAAAAAACCCTTTCCTTTCTAAAAAATTGAATTTCAAAAGTTATCATTTAAAAAAGCCTCCCAGAACAACAACAACAACAACAACAACAACAACAATTCCACAATTCTAGGCTGATATACAAATTTGCATTGGTCCTATGAAAATAAATGCCTCAATCATAAAATAAGAACAATACAAAAGTTACACAAGTTTGCATTCAAATACATACAACTAAAAAGTAAACTCTCTTAAAAGGTCCTGAAATGTCTCGGCCGTAGAAAATACAGACAGGAGACAGTGTCATGGAAGGCATGCTCCAATCCCATAATTCAGCGGTGAGCAGCATATTTTGAAGACCAATCAATCCTTCCATGCACTGGTTGAACAGGAGCTGGCAGCAACCCTGGTGTGCTTTTCATAGACATGTTAAATGATGGTCTCCCGATATGAGGTCTGATAGTCTTCAGGGAATTGTATTCTACAAATGAAGAAGAAGGATATGAAAAAGAGAGAGCAAGTCAAGGTGACAATCAGCTGTGTAACTTGGATTAGAGCATCCTATTTCAAATCAAAGCACTGGATTCAGAATTCTGCAAATGGAAGAAGACACAGTTGGGTCTCAGTTCATCCAAAGTCTATTCAGATTTTGACACTGTTCTTCCCAAATAAAATATAATTGGGAGGGGTGATATTCCATATCCGAATAGGAAATGGTAGGAAAGAGCTCCTCTCCTAAGAACAATTTAATTGAAAGGGAAGCAAAATGCTGGGTGTCTTTTTAATTATAAAAACTACAAGAATTTGATATTGATGCTATCTTATCTGCATGTATGTTGCATCCTGTGATTGGTGATGTTGATAGCTCTGTAGGTGCATGCCCTACGAAGTAGTCTATACAAGAAGCACATCCAGAAGTATCAGCACCAATGTAAGGTTACATTAAACAGAACCTTGCAATCTCCTCTCGTTTTAGTCTCTGGAAAGGGTCCCTCCTGAAATGTTTCCCATGTTTTTTTCTCACTTGCAGTCTGAGCTGCTAGTTATCAGACTGGGCTGTGAGTATTCCTTCTGTCGCCTAAAGTCATTCCCACATACCATCACAACAGGGCACAACCAACATGCCCATAAGACAGACTCTTATCAGCTAAATAAATAATCACCATCAATCACTTGGAAAATAATATTTACTCATAGAACCATACATCCAGGACAAAGCAGGCATCACCCCTTCCAATGAATGAACCTCGCTTCCCTAAAATGCAGCAGTTGGGCAATGAAACATCTACCACCCAAAAGCCAAGCTCAGAGAAATTCAACAATGCAATAACCTTATTAGATTTCCACATAGGTTAATCCATATATTTTTCTTCAAACTAAATTAAAATCTCTCCACTGAATCTTTTAACTTATTCTGTGCAGCTCTCAGAGATGAGTTTTTAAAAAAATAAAACACATTCCCTAAAAAATAAAACACATACCTCAGCGTCAACAATGCCCCACCACCCCACCAAAATGACAATCTTTGGTTAACATACAATAACTTATCAATAAAGGAGAACATTTGTAGCCCAGGGTTGAAATGAGAGGTCCTTGGTGCTCTCTTGAGCTTGGTTGTTTTCTTGCAGATATTTCATTATACAAATTAGGTAACCTGATCAGTGTTAGTTTGGATAATGAAACATCTACAAAAGGCAAACAAAATTCAGTGAGCACCAAGGACCTTTCATACAATAACTTGTTCTATTACTGGCATCCATAGTCATAAGGAGAGCTATAAAGGTATAGAAGCCTCTTTTGTTAGCTTTTGAAGACTTATTTGGGCATTGCCTAAGCAGTCTTCACTACTGTAAGAACTAGAAATATTCTAAAAAGGAAGAAGAAAAACCAAGATGAATTCCCAAGTTCCAAGTATAGAAAAGGCACAGGTCATATTCAAGAGTACTGAAGAAGAGAACATTTTCTGCTTAGAGTAATGTTTTCTTGATTCTTGGTTTTCTTGTTCTGTTACTTGCTTGTTTGTTGAATGTTAATCCCAGCTTATCTAAGTTTTCATACATACTGTAACACTCAAAAGAGACAATAAAACAATAAGACCAGAACGTATCTTCTCCAGCAGTCAACACCCAGATAAGCAGGGATTAACACCTGACAAAAAAATCAAGCAAAAAACTGTACCCTAATCAAGGAACTACCCATGAAAAAAACAACCCCCACCAACACTGGCAGGGAAAGCTACTGTATATAAACAGGGAGGAGGCCCCATATTCATTAACACTGATGATTACCTGGTTGGGTAAAGAAACACCTGCAAACAAACAAACAAGCTCAAAGACCACTTAGCATTCCACCATTCAATCCTGAGCTATAGATATTCCCTTTTATTGGAAGAGAATATCATTATATACAATAGGTCAAGGCACAATAGAGCATACAATAGAAGCATCTATATTTCTTGTTGTTTTTTTATTATCAAACGCAGAAAGTCAAAAGTTTCCAAAAGAAAAGATCCTTTCAAAGCAGTTACTTATTAACATGAGGTCTGCTTGGCTGGTTGCCCAATTAACATCCAGTTGAAGCCCAAGGAGCTGTGAACTGTGAGGATTTCCCAAACGAAACACCACAATTTCTAAAGCAGTGGCTTTACTATCATAGGGCATAACATCATTTCCAGAGAGAAACAAGCTTACGAGAAGATGAGTCTACGGGAGACGGATCAAGAATTGGTGCCAACTGCACTCTCTGACCAGCTGAGCCAACTTCTTTTTTCAGAAAGGAAGGGACATAAGCACCCAGTAGGCCACTTGACCCTGTGCAATCTAAAATAATTTACAAAAAAGAAGGTTGCGTCAATGCAGAAGGTCAAGTAACCATTCCTTAGGCACCACACACCACTTGTAATTAACACCAGTTAATGCCTAGTCGAAATATATTAGACATGACATTTAATTAGTATAACTTCAAATGCAAACATTATTTCAATCGGCATAATAAGCCCCAATTTTATATATTTTTGAGCTATATTTTAAAGGTATCTTCTTTATACCCTACGGGAAAAAAACCATGCCATCCATCTCTAAAGGGATACTATCCCCACGACTTTTATTAAAAAGGATGCTTGTTGGAAGCCGTTCTCTTTGTAATAAGCCCCAGCCCATATGAAAGGATGCCACAGAGGTAGCTTCCTTTTCCCTGACAAGTTCACATAAAGCAGCAACCTAAATGAAATATAATACAATAGCAATGGGCAAAGAAGGTACTATAGCCAGCAGATTTTCTGAGCTGACAGTGAAAGGCATACTGTTAACTTAAAAAAGGAGTGGTTTTTGTCATAATGATCTTAAAAGCCCGATTCATAGTAAATCCTATCCAGAATTATTAGAAAGTAAGTACCCACTGAGCTCAGTCAAACTAAAAATGCATTTAATATCTTGGTTAAGGAATCTTTTAGAAGCATCCCATTCAGAAAAACTGGTCGTGGTGGGGATCAGAATGACTTTAGTAAATCCTTCAGAAGGTTTCGGTAACACTTCTTACTGGTGTTGAGCCTGGTGATCCCGCCTGCTGTTGCCGACGTCTTTCTAGGCAAACTAGAGCTTGGCCATGGATTTGGTAGGACAGAATCTTTCCTTGAACTAGAGACCAAATTATTTCTTGGGCTTATTCCTAAGGTCAAAACAAGACAGTTGATAAAATGCTGCAGATATATTATATATTGATATATCTTTTTTCTCTTCTATTTCTGTGCTACTATAGTTCCCAACTAACTTATTTGCAAATGTTATTGCCGATTGGCATGATTCTTCTTAAAGTAAGAAGATTATTAGATGATTCTTCCTTCTTAGAAGGAATCCAGGCGTTTGGACAGTTAATCAGTTATGAGCCTTTAGAGAAAAGAAACAAGAGGTTCTGGAATAATGAAGAAATGGCAAAAGTGGGCTGCTCAGAGACACCATTGTGTCATTTTAATTTAATGTAAACAACTGGATGGTGCAAATACTGTATACTATGAAAGCTGACTACTAATTGATAGAAAAGATCTTCCTGTTGCCATCCTTTGTTTTCAACCAGATGATGACTTCCCAATGTTCTCCTCGGCTTCTTGGAGGAAAATTGCTCCAACACAAAAGCACAAGACTGCGTTCTGTCTAGTTTTGATAGATACATCATTTTAGCCAGGGTATCACCATTGCTTTAATTGAAAAGCTGTCTGACTGCAATTGCTGACCCTGTACAGTAGGGTGAGCATCCTTCCACCAGCTAATTACTGCATTTTTATTTATTTTATATTTTTGAAGGAGACAGCTAAGATCCATGAGGGAGGAAGAGTTCATTGTCTGATTAGAGGGGAGAGGTTTTTCTGCTTGGTTTTGGGTGTGTTAAGGCAACAAAAGTTGACATCTCTTTAAAATGCTTTCTACCAAAAACTGATGGGAAATTCAGTTTCTGTTTGCCAGCAAAATTTGGTGATATATTTTCTGGAGTGACAAAAAGACTAATATTGCCTGCCTCTTTTGCAGGCTATATTTTGATAATTTAGAAAGGGGGGAAAATAGTTTGTGATGTATTTTAAGTTTTAGACAAGACCAATTTATGTTGAACAATGAAACTCAACAAACAGTTTGAGCAATTTGCTCCTTTAAAGTCTGGCACAATTCACAGGATTTCTATGAAAGAAAACCTGCTACTACCAAAGTAATAGACTTTGCGCCTTGGAGGAAGGATGGCATAAATAATTATTGTTAGAGGTTTCAAACAGATCATAAACTGAATAGAATTTAATCTATGAAAATATTTCCTGCAAAAGTGCACAATAAACCTACTGTTTTGACGTTAGAACAAATTTATATCATTTTGAAAAGACAGCCATTTAGAACATCTGCTGCTATTTGGACACATGAATAAAAAGAAACAAAAACAAGTATTTATACAACAAGCAGTTTGAGGCTGTGAATTCATAGGGTACTCCTCCCCCTCCCAATCTAAGTGCCATTTCCTAAGAAATATTACAGTAAAGATTATGGTTTGGGTTTGTTTGTTTTACTAACCAGGTAAATACCTAGAATGTTTCAAATAATGTTGTTTGGCTGCAGAAACTTGGCACGTTGGCATGTCCTGTTGAAGATAGGAAGGTGCGCTGTTTCCCGTCCCTATGCAGGCTGAAGGTTTCAGATCCAAAATACTTTCAAATCTGTAACCAAAAACAAATAACCCAGTTCACACGCTCACAATACACCCCTCTATATCAATTCACATGCTTTTTTTTCCTGACCAAAAGAAGCTGCAACTGAATCCTTCCAGGGCTGCTGTTGTGAGGAAAACAGAAGAAAGAAAGAAGGAGGATTGATATGTTTGCCACCTTGAGTTGCATATAAAATAAAAGGCGGGATAAAAATCTAAAAAAATCCCCCAAACCATAAAGGTTCAGTGCAATTTCCAACACACATTTTTTTGATGCTCAAATACCAAAAGTAATTACATACTAAAATGGTTAATTCAGATTACATAGAAAAAGATACCTAATGCTCAGATAACTTTTGCTCTGCTCCACCACCAGCAACACACATTCATTATGCAAAGTTACGTAGACAGGAGTTCCCAGTGAAGGAAATAGGACTCAAGTCTTAATAAATATACATGTAACTAAATTGTCCTTCCCTGAGAGTAAGCTCCGTTAAGCTAATTTGGATGCACTTCCAAATAAACATGTGAATAAATAGCTAGACAGCTATTGAACAGGCTGAATTACTATTGATGAGGCAGCTTTTACCTTAAGATCGAGAGATCTTTGTATGTTAATTGAGCAAAATCACCACATGACACACAAATGCATATTTACACAGGATACTGAAAATGTGATTTTGTGCCACTCGTTGCTCTGCAGGAGTACAAACTGGTTGCACACATGGTGCCAATACAATTTGTGTATTCATATTTCCTTGAAAAAAGGGTATTACTAAGTTCAACTTTAACTGATCTTATGTTAAGCAGGAATGGAATATAGCCTATAAATCAGGGAGGAGTTATATGCGGCCCTCCCAAGGATGACTGAACTTCCTGTCAGCTCTAGCCAACATGGCTTATAGTCCTCCATTATCGGAAAAGCCGTATGTTGCCCACCCTTGTTTTGAAAAATATATCATTAGGATTGGAATGGGTGGCTGGGGAATTCTGGGAGTTGAAGTCCAAACATCTTAAAGGTTGGGAAACATTATAATACGCACAGGAAATCAAAAGCTTACCTACAAAGAACATCATCACTCTGCCCTTTGTTTTTAAAATCAGTTCTGCTGAGGGAAGACTTCCTATCACTCTCTTCCAAAGTATCCAACTCCTCGGAACTTTTTATTGTTCCAATAATGTGGCCCCATTTATGTTGGTTCTTTGGTTTGAGATCTCCGTTGGCGGCTTCTGTTGCAATGGAAGTTCTCTGTCAAAATAAAAACAGGCCAGAGTTTTAAACTGCTTTGTAAATGAAAGGAAGTTGGGGATCACTCCCCTGAGTATGTGATTGGCTTTCAGGTGTGATTTCTCATTCTCCTATAGCTGCTGGAATCTGATCCCACGGTCAGTTCCCTCTCTTGGTCTACTAACTTCTCAAAAATGAGGATTTTGCAATTATAGGAAAGCAAGGCTTCAGACAGAAGGCAATATGCACCCAGAACAAATGTGCATAATTTATTCCAATCACAGAAAGTTTCTCCAACAGAAAAAAAAAAAAGCTTTGATAGATAGATAGACAGGTCTATTTACAAGATAAAGTATCCCACAGATCTGCATTGTGAAGAATAGACCGCCATTTAAAACGGGCAACAATAGTGAATATTGGAGCAGGTATGTTTTAAAAATGCCAAGTGTTCAAAGCTTCTTACCTGTAGAGAAAGTTTGGCGTGTATTTCTGGCAAGACCACCTGGCTTGGCTTGACTTCCTTTAGGTGGGCCCTGGCTGAGGAATCTGCTTTGTGTGGGTAGGTCAGGGACTGGGAGGAATGGCTCTGCGGACATGGTCTCAATGAGAGGCCACTCTGCGCTTTGGGCGGGGGTGCTGCTGGTGGAACGGGCTTAAAGTGGCTTTGGCCTTTGTCGGGAAGGTCTCGCTGTTGCTTTCCCAGCTCCCCAATACACTGAGAAGGGCCCAGAGCTTGCCCAACCTGGAAGTAAGGATATCGAAGTGCCTGAAATCCAATGGGGAAAAAAAAATCATTATTCAGCGAAGAAGACCAAGCAATCAAACAAGGGTAGGAATATGGGGATATTTCCAGCCTCAAAAGCCAGAGAGCTGTGTTTCCTGTAATTCTGAATATTGGGAAGGAAAAGCTCGGGATATCCTAACACGCGCAGGATTCAGTTTCCGGAAGCTTTTCATTTATACGTGATTTTAAAAACAGCACTTAAGTTTCTTTTGAGCTTCTGACACACTTTTGAATTGAGTTGACCAAAGAGTGTGTGACAAGGTGCTTGGGAACAGGCATGAGCGAACCGCTGACCCTGCTTTAAGTCAAATGGACATTCTCCTGTGATCCTGCAGCCACTTTGTAAGCCTAGGGCAGGGGTAGGCAACCTTGGCTCTTTTATGACTGGTGGACTTCAACTCCCAGAATTCCTGAGCCAGCATGGCTCAGCATGGAAACCTCTCCATTTCTCCTCAGCATGGTTGGCTCAGGAATTCTGGGAGTTGAAGTCCACCAGTCATAAAAGAGCCAAAGTTGCCTCACCCCTGCCCTAGAGAAAGGCTCTTTTCAAACAGGTGCAGTTTTGCGCAACTATTCTGGGGTAAAAAAAATTCCAACTTTGGATCTAAAGGGCAACACATCTCTGGAGAATGCCAGTTTGCTGGGGGGAAATTAGCGGGAGGAGGGTGCTCTTCACGTCCTCTCCTGCCTGTGGACAGATGGTTAGCCTCTGTAGGGAACCGAATGCTCAGTCAGGTAGCAAACCTCATCATACGCTCCAAAAAAATGAGGTGCTGTGTTAATGTAAGAACTGCATGAAGAACTGAAGAAAATGTAGCAACAGCAGCAGCAGCAGCACGTATGCTATAGAGATTTGTGCCCACCCTGCCCGAGATGATAAGGACCCTGATTTGGGGCTTGTAGGAAAAGGAAATCACCACTGGTCAGAACCAGTAACAGGCAAAAATGTTCTGTATACTCTCCTCTGTGATGGCTCCTTCAGTTTCGAGGGAGACAGCGTGCTATGCTATCGGCAAATATTATCTATAAAGAGCTGTTAATAAAAGAATATCAAACCTGACTGGCAGTTGGCCGCTTTCTGGAGTCCCATTGCAGCATGTCTCTCATGAGCTGTATGGCCTCACTGCTGGCATTAGGGATGAGGGTCTTTAGGTTATTTGGTACACACTGGGGCCACCGGAAATGCATGGTGCCTGCGAGCTGGTAGCCTTCAGGCCAGTCGTTCTGAAAAGGATTAAAGAGGCCTGATGTTAAGGAAGCTGTTGTAATATTATTGCAGCCTTAAACGAACATTATAGGTCAGTGATGGCGAACCTATGGCACGCGTGCCAGAGGCGGCACTGGGAGCCCTCTCTGTGCCCCAGCCCCGCCTCCCCCCACAGCCCTCTCCTCACCAGCAGCCCCCCGGAGGAGAGTTGTCCCCAGGCACGGCCTGCACGGAGCAGTGCACCCAAGGACATGGCAGCCGGGCAGCAGGGACAAGACTCTGCCCTCGCGCCCTGTCGTGCAGATGACGCTCTGGGGCACGGACGGAGGGTGTGGCTGCCATGGCGTTGCAGGGCTGCCTGGGCGATCTGCAGTGAGCTGTGGAGGTGGTGGGTGGCCCTGTGGATGGGCGGGGGTGGGGCAGAGCAGGGGTGGAGTGGGCAGTGCGGGAGGTGGAGCAGGGGTGGGCCAGGGACAGGGCAGTTTTGGGGCACTCGGTCTCTAAAAGGTTCGCCCTCACTGCTATAGGTAATCCTCAACTTATGACGGCTGGACTTATTGGGACTGGAATTTTCATTGCTAAGTGATGTAGTTGTAAAACATGACTGCATCACTTAAGCGATGGCAATCCCTCCAATCCTGGTTGATGTTGTTAAACGTACCTCATGGCTGTTAAGCGAGGCAACTTCCTGCTGGCTTTCCACAACCAAAGTCAAGTCCCAGGCTGGAAGGGAGTGAGTAGGTGTGCAGAAGGTATGGGGAGAGGTGGGGAGAGTGTCCAAGAGTTTGAGTGCACGAGAGGTGCAGCATGGTTCATGAGGGTGCAGTGTGGGTCAGGAAAGTGTGAGGCAGTGGACAAGAGGCACAGTGTGGATTAGGGAGGATGCACGAGAGAAATGGCACGGGTTAGAGAGGGTGAGCAGCGGTGCAGCATGGGTCAGATGTGCAGGGGTGTGGTGCAGGTTGAGGAGGGTATGTGAAGGCATACAATTGGCTGACATGGCATGGGCATACAGGGGTTGGGAGATGCGTTTGTAGGTAGGGGAGACTTGGGGCCCTCCCTCCTGGCTTCCCCATTGTCTTTCTGGGGAAGCCAGCAGCGAAGGTTGCCAATGGCGATCACGTGATCATGGGGTACAAAACAGCTACTAAGTGCCCAGATAATGATCATATGACAGTCGGGACTGCTGGGATAGTTGGAACTCTGAGGACAGTTCATAAAAACCTGGCTTGAACTGAAAGTTTTAATATGCTCTTTCACCGTCACAACAGTTGCAGCGAATTATATTGAGTTATGCTTTTAAGTCAACGCAATCATTTTGACCATTTCTATTTAAATAATCTGTTATTTACATATGCCACCTTGAGAAATACCAGAACTAATTTTGGAAATAACTCTCAACGGTGTCTGCAGAACTGTGAGAAATTAAAATGGCCACCCGCAATTATGGCCTGTTAACTAGTGGATTCTGCTGGGGCTTGGAAAGTTAGCAGCCCTGCCAGGCTATCTGATGCTGATGCCAAGCCTACAGAATTTGGAGTTGGAGGAGATGAACAAAGGCACAACACAATTCATTCTAAGACTGGGCCAATTATTGCAGTGTGATCAACTGGATCTATACCACAACCAAAAGATACTTCATCTAGGCTTGACTGAACACTTACTAAGGGAAAGACAGATGAGCAACCTGCAAGCATCCAAATGTTCTTGTCCTTCAGCTTTCCCCTTCCCTAACTCTGGGACACATTATCGTTGAGGATGTTTATGCTGATGAAAAACGGAGCTGATTTGATTGACTATTCCAATGGACAAGAGGGAATCATATCAAATTATGCACACACAATATTGTCCAAGTCTATGTATACTGCGTGTATATATGACCTCATCCCTCTGTCATTTGAAATCCATTCTTGCACACTTGAGTTTTCAAAGTGGGCACTAAGTCAGATGAAGCAAACCTTACCTTTGCAGCGATTCAAATACACGTACATTAAGAAATATATACACAGTGATGAAAGAATACTTAAATAATCTTAAAAACAAACATTAGAATAATAATAAAGATAAATATGAGCAATCTCGGCATATCTTCTTCCCGAGTGCTAAGTCCCACTGATCTCACTTAGTTTCAAGTAAATATGCACAAGATCAAGAGATATATGCTGTCTTGTGTTCTTCATAAAGTGTGTCATTGTTTACCTGTTGATAATATAAACCTGGAATCATTTTAACTGTCTATCTGAGATCAACACAGCATAATAGGACATGTAATGTACTAAGAGAAAGACAAAGCCCATAGAAGCTACTCATGCCTGCAATATTCCATGTGCAACAAAGGCCCGGCTCTCATTTAGCTACCTTTTTCGGTGTTCCCAACACTTGGCAAATTTTGAAAATAGTATCTATTTCACTGGTCCCGGGAAACAGTGGCCTGAGTGTATAAACTTCTGCCATGATGCAACCAACAGCCCAGATATCAATGGGAGAACTATAGTTAGTGGACCTCAAGAGCACTTCAGGAGCTCTGTACCTGAAAGCCAAAAATAAGTAAAAGAGTGTTTTCTTTTTAAATTAACAATAGTAATTAAAACAGCTGCTAATACAGGACACAGACATTGTGAGTGTTCAGTTCTCCCTACTCACTCCTTACTCAGGGTAAGCTTAGTGTTCTATCAGGGCTCGTGGGTTTTCTTATCTCATTTGATGGCCTTTTATGTATAGTGTGCCATTCACTGGATTCACCCACAGTTCTTATCTATCAAGTTGTTAAACAGGATTTCTCGAAAGACTATATATGATTCATGCATTATGCTAAGTCCAAACTGGTCAGATTAGATGATGGTTGTACAATGTACCCAAAGAACTAGTTGGACTCACAGTTTTATGACTCAGTCTGTGATGTAAAACTAAACAACAGTGGTTTATTCAATAAACCAGTTACGCAGAACATAATTTAAGACAATGAATGACCACAGCCTCTGAGGTTGTATAACACAAAGTACTCATGAACCATTATGCATCTGTAATGATGATTGTTGAATCATCTCTTAATTCCATTTAGTTGTGGGGAAAATCTATGGGGTCTCTAGGAGTCAAAAACAACTTGCTGACACATAATCAGTCAATTAATTAATTCCATGTAATCTGACTGAAATAAAACCAGTGGAGCCTACAGGTAGCCTTCAACTTACGACCAGTCGGTTACTGACTGTTCAAAGTTATGACAGACTTACCTGAGGGCTACTTATGACCCAGATTTGAAGTTCTAATTGTCACCCTCCCCTGGTCACATGGCTGCATTTACTACTATTTGTAGTGTTCGGTGATCACATGACTGCACTTTACTAGTTTTGCCCCAAACTGGCATTTACTTTGTTTTTAGCAAAATCATGCTCATTGGTTTGCTTAACAACCAAAGCATTTACTTAACCAAAGCAAAATAAGTCACAACTTACAATTGTGATGGACAGGCACCATGATGGTTGAGGACTATCTGTGCAAATGTGGAGTTGGTATAAAATGCCTTGGATTCACTACAAGTTAATAAGTGCCTTCCCTCCCTATTGAAAATGCTAAAGCCCCCGTGCTAACAAGCCAAGAAAATCTTTTTGGTGAAAAAATCTTCAGAATTTTCTCCATATGGAGAAACGCTATTCCCATCTACAATTGCAAAATGCTGTGCACCTCTGCAAAACTCAGGAAGTTCTGGCCAAACAAGCAATTCCATGAGCAGAGGAGCTTCATCCTTCATATCTGCTAGAGTGATTGGACTACTCTTCGTTCATTTAAAGATGTGCTGCCAAGATCCAAGCCCATAAAATTCCATTAGGCCCTTTATGCAGATAGTGCCGATTTTATTCCAGATAAAATTATTTCAAATTTACTATTATTAAGCCAAGAACATATGGGCAGAGCTCTCAAGAGCAGCTTAACATCATAGGATTAGGGGCACCGAGCTGATTTTGAATTAATGAAGTCATGACATGGGCGCGTTTCTATTGGGTCTACCTTTTCTCTTCCTAGCAAAGCAATTCAGCTGGGACACCTGATCCTCCATGTTTTTGAGGGACTACAGCAGGGTTTCCTAATCTTGGCATCTTTAAGACGCATGGACTTCAACTCCCAGAATTCCCAAGCCAGCCATGCTGGCTGGGGAATCCTGGGAGTTGAAGTCCATACCTCTTACACTTGCCAAGGTTGGGAAGCCCTGCACTAGAGAGATTGCTACAGACAGGAGAGAACTGCCCTTTTTAAAATCAGCCCTGTTGTATATGTTCAAAGCTGGATTCTACTTGTTTACTTATTTACCTATCAGAAACAAGAAAGAAAATTCAAACAAAAGTGCCAATAATTATCACATTTATCCAACTAATAAGACTCTAACGTAAGTATTTACCACCGCGTCGAAACATAATCTGTGTAGGGAGGTCTGGATCTAATTTCACGCGCAAGCCCAAAATCAGCTATTTTCACAAGTTCTGGTCCCATGCAAAGGAGATTCTCTGGTTTTAAGTCCCTATGAAAAAAACCTGTGTGAAAAGACAAACACTGGTCAGGCTTTTCTCTCACCCTTCTTCTTAGCTTTCACCTTATAGACCTCTTTTAAGAATTACAAGAAATAATTGTTCAGAAAACATCAAACTGCGTTTTTGCTTATATAATACTTGAGCCCTGCTCTTCCTTTCATTTTAGGCAGAGGAGGGCTTAAATTTGGTTACGCTTTATGCTTGGAGGTATAGATCAGAACAAATACCTTATATTTGTTTAGTAAGCATGAAAATTAGTATTTCTGAATAGAAAGCAAAAATAATTACACTGACTATATGTAGACTGAAAGATTCCAGGATTGTACGGATAAAGTATTTAAAATTGAGAATGATACTAACACGATGTTACGACTGTATTACAGCCAGAGGCAATAATAGCAACACAACTTGCTATAACAGATGTAAATAACACATTTTGTACAGTATTGCTCTATGTAAGCTGGCCTGAAGTCAATTCTGTTGATTTCTATGGGATTCAGAACTTTCATCAAGAAATCACTATTTATTCAACAACAGGTCTTTTCAGAAAACCTTAGTGATAAGCATTGTTTAGTTCCCTGAACCCAAACAAGGAATATCTGCTCACATATTTCTGAGATATTCCTTCTCTCTTATGCAAACGCAGAGACTCGTCCAAGTTGTCATTTAAATCTTACCGTGTTTATGTATGAATGCAAGGCCTTGAAGAATCTGATACATAATATTCCTGACAGTGGATTCTGGAAACAGTTTGTTCCTGTAAAGCAGAAACAGAACTCTAAAGTTTACATTCACATATGAGGTTTCTTATCTGCAGTTGTTTCCAAAGTGCAGATATAGTGGAAGGCTATAAATACAGTAGATCAGAACACAAGCAAATCAGCTTAGACATTCTGAAATGGTTTGGCTCTGGAGCAAGTCCTCTTCTGTTTATTTATTTAGGATACTCACATTAGCTTTACTGTTATTGATGTCGCATAAGCAACTGAGAAAAAGATTCTCACAGTAACTTTCTCCACTTCAGAACAAGGATGAAAATGCCACGGTATTCAGAGTGCCAGCCTACTTGCTGGGCATTGGCATTAGCTCTTGATATCCTTAGGGACGTGATGATGTTAAAGCAGAATCCAGTTGCTGTATGCACAATAAATAAATAAATATCCCTACCCTAGACTCCAAGAATGATGGAAAACTGAACTGGCAGTTCAACTCAGCTGTTGCTCTTATTTCTCAGAAATGCTAACTTAAAAGTAAACCCCGAGAATATCATTGTGCCTAGGCTATGTGAGGTAAGAGATCTATTATTGATGGTCACACAATTAGCCAGATGTTTAGATAGGATTTAGCATTTTTGTCCACCTATTGAGTCCTTCTCAAGGACTGGGGATAGGCAGAAATTGTTTAAATTATTAAAGGTATCATTATAAGATGTCAGCGGTTGCAAGTAAAACTGCCTTTTGCAATTGGCTGATGGTGATTTTGTCCATGTCAATGGTATTCAAATAGTGCTCCAGATATTTTGAGATTGCACCCAAGGTGCCTATTACTATTGGTACTACCTTTGTTTTCTTTTGCCACAGTCATTCTACTTCTATTTGCAGGTCTTTGAATTTTGTGATTTTTTTCCAGTTCTTTCTCTTCTATTCTGCTATCTCCAGGTAATGCAGTGTCTTACTATCCAAACTTTTTTGTCTTTCTTATCAAAAATTGCTAAGTCTGGGATGTTGTGTGACAGATGCTTGTCTGTTTGAATTCTAAAGTCTCAGAGCATTTTAGCCTCTTTATTTTCTATTATTTTGTCTATTTTGTGGTCCAACCAATTCCTATTTGCAGGCAAATAATATTTTTGCAGATATCCAATGCACCACTTCAATTCTTATTACTTTATCCCAGCTTTTATATATACTGTATATTTACAGTATATATATGCTATGATTTCCATTTTTATTGTTTCACAAATATTTATCTTTTAGGATTTTAATGTTTCAATGCTGTAAACATGCAGAGTTGTTTCAATATGGGCAGCAAATAAATTTAATAAATAAATAAGCATCTCTCTCTCTCTTTCGTAGGTTATGCCCCTGAACTGTGTCTGTGAGAAAAACAACATACCTTTCTTTCATTAATTGATAAAGGTTTTCTTTCATATACTCAAATACAAAGTACAGATTATCATTTTCTCTGATAACTTCTTTTAGTTTCACTACGTTGGCATGGTTGAGTTTTTTCAAGGACTGGAAAAAAAACAGAAAACAATTACAGGCTTCAAGATAAGTGACAATGAATCTTTGTTCCAGAAATGTAATTTAAGATGCTGCTAAATTTAAATATGGCCCCATTCAACAAACAAACTTGGATCACTAGAACTGGATGTGCACAGTGCCCATCTTTCAAGTTGTGTGCTGATGGCAACTGGCACAACTTACTTTTCAGCACCCAGGAAGCCAAATTCCCTGCAGAGATCTTTATGCAGCCAAAAGCAACATCTAACCATAAGCGTTTGATTAAAACTCCTTCCAGCTCTGAAAAAGGCAGTATGAACATTGCAGTCTCAGGTTTTTTCTTCCACATCTTCCCATTATGCTTACAATAGATTCACCAATTATTGTTAATTTTTCACAATCATTTTGTCATTTAGATGCTTGGGCAATGGATATGTCAGTCAGCTTCACAAGTCTTAGAAGGCCTGTCAGTAGATCTCCCTTTTCATAGCTAGAGAGCAATCAAGCATCTTACCAACCTATCTCAGCTTGTTCATAAAACAGCTCTGATCTGAAGACCAAAATGACTTCAAAGTAACACTAGTAAACGTTATCTGAAACCCAACATAAATACATGTTTATAAACATGGATATGGTCACACTGGAGCTGAAAACCCATATACCGTAGCTGTTTTGCAATAATCCTATGGACAGAATTTCAAATTCCTACTAATTCACAGTGCATGATGGGAAATCCAGAGCTGCATGCATCTGTTGTGCTTTTTTTGGGCCCTAATTTCCTGTTGCCTTTCCTATCTACTACTGATTGCCGAACCAAATGTCTGTTTATAACAGTCACCACCTACAATTTAAATGTAGTACTATATTTTTACATCTGAAGTAGTCTAAAGAAAGTCTGTTCAGCTTTCTTGTATCATTTATAAACACAAACAACACAGGCCTTACTTTCAGGAAAAAAAAGGTCTTAGAAAAACAAGGTGTAGGTTACAACATTACAACACAGCTGATTTAAGATTGAAACTCCTTCGGCGAATTTAGAATCGGAAGGAAGAGACAAGTACCTTGACTTCACGAAGATTCATGCATTCCTCCCAGGAATAAAATTTCCTCTTCATCCTGCAAAAGAAACAAGAAATCTACTATTGGGCACAATATGTGTTCCAGTTCTATTATGACATAAGGCTGGAGAAATAAATACAAAGCCGCAACAACCAAAGACTACAAACTGATTCTGTACCTCCTTTTTTGGGGGGTGGGTGGGTTGTTTCTCAAACATTAGTTTTCATTTTCTAAAGTAAAAACAATTTTCAAAACAGATTTTCATGTGGTATGAAAATCTAATTATCTAAGAAAAGAAACAATCAATAATTTTGCATTCCTAACCGGTTGAGAATCAGTCTCAAGATTAGTACAATTCAAAATCTGAGTTTTTATTTAGTGGTTTCAAAATAAATGAGGTACTGATTTCTCAATTAAGAGAACAATTTTGCCTTGACAAGTTGAAGTGATATCCTTGTGTTAGAACATGTTTGAACCATCTCCTCTTTATTATATAACATAATTATATAAATAAAAATGTAAATGTTTGTTTGTTCAAAATCTTAAATCTCTGAAAGTTCTTCACCGATTGCTTTGAAATTTTCACACAACGTTGCATTCGAATACGCGCGTGTTTTTATATACCTATATTATATAGATGTCACACCTGTGACAGGTAAAAACATGCTTTTTTAAAAAAACACCGCCATCTGTTGGACATAAAAGCAACACACGCTTTTACCAGACTGAGCCATAGCAACGCATGGCTGGGTACAGCTAGTAGTTTTAAAAAATATGAATTTTCATTATCTGATGCTTAAATGTGATATGTAGGGTTAAAATGACAGCAATTCAGAAAGGTCCCTTACCTCTTAATGGCAATCAGCTCTCCTGATTCAATACTTCTTCCTAGGAGGACAGAGCCATATGTTCCATCTCCCAGCTGTTTGATAGTTGTGTATCGATTCATGATCGGGATCCTCCAGAAGGCAATCTCATTTCAGTCCTTGGCATGCTCTTTGTTGTGGATGAAGCATTTCCCCTCAGAGTGAAGCCAGTTTTTCTAATGGCAGCACAACCCCACAGTATCCAGGATTTGGTGAACATTGCCAAGTTCATATTTTCAGGGATTGTCTTTTGGTCTGTGAAAATACAGAGAAACATGTCTTCACTTTGTATGCCTTATAGCATGAAGGCTCATACGGTATTTTTCTTGATGGTTACCATCTGAATTCTTTTGAGTCTGCTAAATAGAAGAATTAAGCTATAGCTGATCCTCTAATAAGAATGTATGGTAAAAGGCTCACACAGCCAAGTCTGATATAAAGATCTTCCTAGTAGTAGATATGTTTTTCTAGCTCTTCTTTAGACTAGCAGTTTTCTATCTCTCCCACTCTTCTGTCCCACCAACTATTTCTTTATTTAAGAGATTTATATGGGTGCCTGTCTTATATACAATAAACCTGTGCGGCTCACAGAAAAAGCAATACGACAGAAAAAAGCTATAAATTTAACATCGAAACTATACCTCATGGCATCCCAAACGCAACACTCTCATATACTTGTTGAGCTCCAATCTCATCGTAGGCCATTACCTTGAGGAAGAGGCAGCACTTCACAGCCTACTGAAAGAACGGAGGCCTAGTCAGGAAGGAGGCTAATTCCTCAGGGCAGGGGCAGCTATAGAGAAGGTGTACCTCCTCGGTCCCTCTAGGTCAGTGGTGGCGAACCTATGGCACGGGTGGCAGAGGCGGCACTCGGAGCCCTCTCTGTGGGCACACGTGCCATTGCCCCAGCCTCGCCTCCACCCGTGACCCCCTCCTCACCAGTAGCCCTCCTGGAGAAGAGTCACCCCTGAGCGTGGCCCAAGCAGAGCAGTGCAGCCAAGGACACGGCAGCCAGGCAGCGTAGACAAGACTCTGCCCTCATGCCCCATCGCGCACAGTTGATGCTGCGGGGCGCGGGCAGAGGGCGTGCTGCCATGGCGCTGCTGAGCGATCTGCGGCGGGCCCTGGAGGTGATGAGTGGCTCTGTGGGCAGGTGGGGTGAGGGCGGAGCGGGGCTGGGACCAGTTTTTGGGCACTCGGTCTCTAAAAGGTTCGCCATCACTGGTATAGGGTTTCCTGAAATAGTATAGGGTTTCCTGCCTGAGCAGGGGGTTGGACTAGATGACCTCCAAGGTCCTTTCCAACTATTATTATTATTATTATTATTACTATTATTATTATTATTCTTAAGCAGCAACAGGGCAATTAAATTCAATCCTCCTTCATTTGATTTTAAAGGTAAGTATAGGTGACAACAGTTAAGAGAAAGGGCTTGGCGTGCACCCATCCTATCCGAGGTGGTGGGATGGACAGACCTCAGGGAGAAGGAATCCACAAATAATTCGGTCCTGTGCCATTCAAGGCTTCAAAGCTGATAACCAATGCCTTGACTTGCATCCAGAAAGAAATTAGAAGCCTGGGCAGCTTGCACTGCAGCAGTGTGATACAGGTAACCATATATTTACAACCATTCATTTAGTGACCATTCAAAGTTACAACAGCACTGCGCTGAAAAAAGTGACTTATGACCCTTTTTCACTTATGATAGTTGCAGCATCCTCATGGTCATGTGATCAAAATTCGGATGCTTGGCAACTGGCATGTATTTATGACGGTTGCAGTGTCCCGAGGTCACGTGATCACCTTTTGCAACCTTCTGACAAGCAAAGTCAATGGGGAAGCCAAATTCACTTAATAATCATATTATTAACTTAACAACTGCAGCGATTCACTTAACAACTGTGGCAAGAAAGGTCGTAAAATGGAGGCAAAATGCACTTAAGGAATGTCTTCCTTAGGAATGGGAATTTTGAGCTCAGTTGTGGTGGTAAGTCAAGAACTACCTGCATAGGCAAATAAACTGTACAGACATAAAGGCCTGTGGCCTTCCGGGTGC